ACATAAATAAATGTCTATTTTGTTTGTAGAATTCAAAGTGCTATTTGCTTCAAGAGCTACATAGCATTTTTCCAAATATTCTAATACACCTATTGAATGCCTTAACCATTGCATGTAAATTAACAAACGAATAGTCTGAAAAAATTCCGGAAAAAGCAGACCAGTAGGAGTTTTCTTCGCAGAAATAGCGAAAATCATTAAGTAATTTAAAAATTACATTGGAATCATGATTTGCTGATACAATGGAAAATACTGAAAAATTTTTTCTGGTTTTTTAAATTTAAATTACACCAGAATATAAGTAAATTTTCTTTTTTATGGAAAATATCGGATTGCACACTACTCTTCCTGCAGCGTCAAAATAAATAAATTGCAAGCCCTTAATACTTCGTTGGGATTTTAAAACATTTATTTGCTCGATACTAAATATTTTCACATTGAAGGGAACAGAATCTTCTTTAATATAATTGTGATGGTCACGTTGCATAAGTATTAAATCATAGAGATCATCTTTGCTGCGATCCAATTGTTGAGCAGCTTCCGACTTTATTTTTCTGAGGGTCGGATCAGATTTAATATTATTTAAATTTTTAGTTTGTAGAATATTTGACTTCTTTGATTTTAACAGGGACATTTTTTGTACTGATATGCCGAAGAAGTACTAAGCTTAGCCTTTACAAGATTCCTCTCAACTCCTATTACTGGAAGAGTTAAATACCTTGCGTGATTAAAATCAAGTGAAGTACTGTAGACCGTCACAACCCTCTTTTTTATGTTGATTTTTAATTTTTTACATCCGTTATGCTTACACACACCCATTTTAATAATTGAGCTTATTTTCTTAAGATATTTTATCCCCTTAAACACTATTAAGCAAGTATTATTTACATATTTGTTTATCTTGTTGCGCAGATACAATGGATAAATTTGAGGATTAAGTTTTTCTTTATTACATAATAAGTTCCATTGAGCGGAATCGATTACAAATGTACCTTCAATGGTATTGTACTCCTTAATTTTAATAAGTGTAGAATTATTTGAATTTTCTGGTAATATTCTATTTTCACTCCAACTAGTTGACAACTTAATTATTTCTTTAGGTATCTTAGAATCTGTCGGAGTTATATCGATAACTGAGGTGAATTTTAGAGTTTCATTCGAAATTTCATCTTCATGTGTTATAGAATTCTGTGAAATTTCGTCTTCATGTTTTAAATAACTCTGTGAACTACTTACATATTCATTATTACCGTAGTATTCTTTATCTATCTAAACTGTTAACATTACCAACGCAAGTAGTAACTGAAGAATTTTCATTTGTGGTAGACGAATATTCAGGGTTTTGAATTATTATTACATGGTCTTTTTTACCGTTTACCATTTTTTTCCAACTGGTATAAATTTTGTCTATTTTGTAAGAATCTTGCATTCCTAGTTTTTTACATATCCTACAGTAAACTGTATTATCCGTCCTGTAATGTTTGCAAATGTCAACAATGTTTACGTTTAAGTCTTCTAAAGCATTTGTCAACTTTTCACTATAATCTCGATTGGTTTTCGGACCTAATCGTAAAATATTATTTAAAACATTTATTAAAACATACTATATTTGCTACAACACTAGGATATCCATACTTTGTACCAAAGAGCTCTAAAGCTATAAAATCTAATATATTTCTTTGTAACTGGTCCTCAAAATTGAATTTTAAACAATGTTTTCGAATATTTCTAGCAATAATGAAAGTCTTTTGTTTGGAAATAATTTTTTTCCCATATATTTATTTTATGAAAGTTAATAAAAATTTAAGCCCAGTAAATGCTTAGGTTTAACAAGTACGCATAGAAGATAACATGGAAACAACAGTTTAATATACGTAAACGATTAAATGCTTCCAACTAAACAAAATAAAACCAAAAATCGAAAATGACAACAAGTAAAACTGATACATAACTAAAAACTTATAAACTAAGGACACAAAACAACTTATTAAAAGACCTTATAAATTTAAGGAAAATGTAATAATCCAAATTATTATATGAAAAACCATTAGGTAAGTAATAAGCTTGTCAAATAAAGACGAACTGATAAATAACTAAAAAAAAAGGTAAGAACACAAAATATATAATAGGAAATCCAGCTTAAAACGAAATAATCCAAATTATTATTTGGAAACCAAAACAAATCAATACCTAGATATTTAAAATAAAAAACAAAACAAATAATAAGATGAAAACGTAAAAACTAAAGTGGAAACGAAATTCAAATCCAAATATATGAAAAACCAAATAAGACAATAATGGTCTATCAAACTGCAAAATATCCAATTCTAATTGGAATATAGGGTATAGTACGAGCAAGAGATATAGTGTGACTTTAAGGGCTCTTTCAGACGAGGATACTGTATCTGAGATACGCGTATCCGAGATACAAAAAATAAATGCAGTTAAATGGTAGCTTTCACACGGCATTCGACGCCGCATACAGTATCGGGCGACAGAATTTTTGAATCTTGACAAATCAGCCGCCCGGCGGCGAAGGAGTATCCGAGATACAGAATTATCATGGTGGCTTATGGACCTGTTCAGACACGCATACTTTTGCGACGCAAAATGTTCGATTTCAGAGGCGGCCAGTATTTATTCAGAAGTGATAGTGAGTAGTTACAATAAAATACAAATTATGGATCGTGCCGTTTTCGATAACGAGAAGTTTATTAGTTTGATGGGGCCAAATTCTTGTTTATGGGACACTAGTCACGAAGATTATTTTGACAGAAACAAAAAGCAACGATATTGGGTGGAAATTGCCAAACAAATGTGTGATAATTTTGAGGAAATGACATCCGTTCAAAAAACGAATATGGTAAGTATATTTTTATATACAGGGTGTCCAGAAAGTCAACGATTATACTGAAAGGGGTGATGGACCAACTCATAAGCTTTCAGAAAACCATAATATGACCTTAATAAAAAATTGATGGTTTTCGAGATATTTCCACTTTAATAGACCTTTTTTTGTACAGTATGAGGTGTTAAACTTGAGTGATGGAAAATAAAAATAAATTATTTCTCTGTAAAATAAGATTTCTTATTGAATATTTTGAACTTTTGGTTCAATGTTGGTTTTTGTTTAATGAAATGGCTATTCACAGTTGCAAAACCTAAATCAAAACCTAGAATTATACATTTTTTTAGGAGTGACACTCGATTTTAACGAATTTTATTAAAGTGGCAATATCTCGAAAACCATCGATTTTTTACTAAATTCATATTATGTTTTTCTGAAAGCTTATGAGTTGGTCCATCACCCCTTTTAGTATTATCGTTGACTTTCCGTACATCCTGTATACTGAGAAACATGATCGTGTTGGGGCACGTCGATTTTGTTTTGTTTGAATTTAATTGAATAATTTAATCGAGTGTACCAAAAATGTTTTTTAGAGCCTTTAATTACTTTCACACCACGAAGTGATGTGCGAGTATTGTACCGAGTTGAACTCAACGTGACTATTTTTGGGTATAAGCGAGGGTATAAGTAATTGCACAACTGGAGCAAAAATCAATGTGAGACATAAAAGAAAAGAATCTACTTTACTAAATCATTTATTTGCAGTTCTTTAATCTAAACAAAATTGCCAGGAATAAATATATTGTTATTTGTACTACAGACACACACATATCTTAAATAAAGTTATTTTGCCAAGGTAGTGCATGAGTAGTCATAAAATACTCAGCAAAATAGTCACGGATAACAATTGCTGGTCTAGCAGGGTATGCCTCGGTAGCTGCGACTTCATTGTCATAAACTCCTTCGTAGGATAACGTATCCTCGTGTCTGTATCCATCGCGTATTCGCACAAAGTTGTGAAGTACAGTACAGGCTTTCACTATATCTTCAGCAAACTCAATAGACACGTTAAGAGGACGATGGAATATTCTCCACTTGTTAGCAAAAATCCCGAAAGTACATTCAATATACCTTCGTGCTCTAGATAGTCTGTAATTATAAATTCTTTTCTGTATTGGCAAAAATTTTCCACCATATGGACGCATTACATTAAACGATAAGCCAAACGCTTCGTCTCCAATAATAACATAGGGGATTTTACAGTCATCCTTTTCTGGTAAAAAGTCAAGATCAGGAAGGTTTAGTTTTTTGTCGATAACTTTTTGTAAAGATCCGAATTTTTAAAAATACTTGAATCACTGTTTTTGCCGTAATCCCCAATATCCACAAACGTAAAACAATAGTTTGAATCGTTGAATTGAGAAAAAATGTTTATAATTAAAATACAAAGATCCACTTTGTTGTGGTTTTATCACTCGAATATGTTTACCGTCAATAGCACCCACACAATGGGGAAAATTGGCGTTTCTAAAAAAACCATGTGCTATTTCCAACCAGTTTTCTCTTGTGGGCTTTGGCATACATTGCTCTTTCATTTTGGTCCAAATTAGCTTGCATGTGTGCTGTATTATTTCACTTGCTGTTGAAATTCCCACTCTGTAGGTGTAATGTAAATCAGTTGGAGAACATCCAGTCGCTAGGTACCTAAAACAATAACCGCAAATAGAGCTTTTTATATATAACACTTGTTTTAACTTTAGAAAAAATTCGCAAATATTTTCTTTTTATAGTTTGTTTTTTTAGGAAAAGATCTCCAAAAAAATGGAAAAATTTACGAAATTCATTTGCTCGAGAATTGAGCAGAAGAAAAAAAAAGAAAAGTGGTGATGGGACGACTTGGAAAACCTATGTATTTTTCGACCAACTATCCTTCCTAATGCGGTGCCCTTCAAATAAAGAGTAAGAATGTTTAATTTGAAACTTTTAAAGAATCTTATGACGAACATTTACTGTTTTAGGACAAGCTCTAACATTACAGAGGACCCAATGAAGAACGACGAAACTTTACTGCCAGAAGACAATGGAGAAACAATGATGAGCTCTACACCTATTTAAAAAAAATGAAAAAATACTTCTACAGATGATTCTTCAGAAATGGTACAAGTCTTAAAGGCCTTGAACAACGCAAAAAAAATGAGGACCTGTTAGGTAAAGACGAGGACCGACATTTCCTTCTTTCGCTTCTGGCAGATTTCAACAGAGTGCCAATTGAGAAAAAGCTGGATGTGAAATTGGCAATCATTCAGGCAATCAAGTCAGCCATTTTGCCCACTCATGGTGCTGCTGTTCCACATACGCCTTATTTTTCAGAAACTTATCCTATTCATCCTTCAGCTTTTTTTATACCTCCACAACCGTATTCTAATGTTCCACAACATTTTAATCAAATACCACAATCGCCACACACCTTTCAACAAAATAATCAAATATTACAGTCACAACACACTCAAAAAAGTTATCAAATGCCGCCATCACCACATACCTCTCAAGAAATTAATCAAATACCACAATCACCACACACCTCTCAAAAAATTAATCAAACACCACAATCACCCCACACCTCTCAACAAATTAATCAAATACCACAATCACCACAAACCTCTCAACGAAATAATCCAATACCACAATCATCTCACACCTCTCAACAAAATTATCAATTACCACAGTTTCCAAGTACGCAACACAACTTACAACAAAAAATCCTTACTCCTCTCCAATTTCCCTTTTCTGTAGAATCGAGTGACAATATGTCAACAGATGGATCAATTGTGGACCTTCTTACGGAATACTAAGGTCACATAAAAATATATTATCTAAATATAAATATATAAATAATATCAACTTTCTGTCTATTGCATTAAAACTATTTTTCATAAATAAAAGAAAAAGTCTTACGATTTGTTTTACTTACCTTAATGTTATAGATAACCGTTCTCTTGATTGAATACTTCTACGCATTGTAGAATCTTGCTTGGTTAATTCACTTTTTAAAATGTTGTGCAGCTCTTCAAATGATTGTGGAGACATTCGATAATAATTAAAAAACTTTGTAGTGTCTTGTAATAAATCTTGGTGAAGTAAATTATATGTTCCCTTAGCTTCCCTTAATTCTACCATAGGATGAACCCACAGAGTTTGTCTTCTTTTAAGTTTTTTCTTTTTATTAGATATATACCATAACATAACGCACTCTTCAATATTCATGATAACGACTGCACCGCACTGAAGCTTGTTAGAAATGTGTAATAAAGTATCCCAGAAGTATCGGGGTAGTATGCGGCTGTGATTCGGTATCTTGCATACAGAATCCCGCATACAGTATCCTCGTCTGAAAGGCCTCTAAAGCTTTAAAGCAAGCCGGCAACATACAAAAAAAAAATAGGTAGATACATCACCTTTAAATTAGTAGAGGAGCATTCAAGAGATTGAGTATACTTATTTTATTTTTACTTCTCTCGATAAAAGGAAAGTATTGTAATCGTGAAAGTTTAGATTTTCACATTTTCGGGTCCTTAGATTACGAAAAACATGTTTTCCCTTTTCCGTCGGTCTGTCCGCCGTCTGTCTGTTGGCGCGGTAACTCAAAAACGGCTTAAGAGAAAAACTTCAAATTTTGTATGCAGGTAAGGCTTCCTCTTAGCTCAAAACCGATTATACTTCTATTCAGGTATATACAGGGTGCGCAATTAAAAAAATTGGGTTCTGATAAAATTGTTATCTGATCAAAGATAACAGATCATGAATTAATTTAAAAAAATTCAAAATGGCTTCCTTGTTTTTACAATTTATACAGGGTATTTTTTAATGGTATGCTAATATTGTAGGATGTGATTCCTCAGGTCATTTTATGAAGAAAAGTTCATATGAAGTCCGCAACGGCTTTAATTTTTTGCTACAGAAAGTTGAAAATTTGTTTTTTAAAGAGATATTTTTTAATATCTCTGAAATTAGATTAGATATAACTTTCAATTTTGGCATGTGCTAATAGGATATAAAACCACATATTTTAATTAGAAAGTTTATTTTATTGTTCTACCAGTGGCCTCTGCAAACATGTCATCTGATATTTTCTACAAAAAAAGTAGTACTGATATTTTACCATGTTGATATTTTTACTCATTAGACTGGTCAATTCTACATCAATACGACATCTTGTAGTTTTCTCGCCAGCCGCTCGGTTCTAGAATAAAATAATTAAAATTAATCGTTAATACTGCAAAATGAAGAAATTTTAATTTAATTGATAAACGATGAGATAAACGCCACTGAAGTATGTGGTTTTACATCCTATTAAAAATACAAAAATAAAGAAAAAATCTCAATCTCCATGGTATTCAGCAATACTATCTATGGCGTATATTTCTTTAATTTGTATCGTCTGTAAAACTTTAAGAAGTTCTTTTTTTATAGCTGTATTAAAAATACAAATCATTGTCCATTAGAAAATTGTGTATATCCGCTTTCGCCATCGTGTTGAATGTACTTCTAAACAATCTGCTCTTGACTAACTCGTCGGCAGTTATAAACTGGTCTTACTCAATGCATTTAAGGTGGCTGGAAATACAACCGGCAGCGGACTAGGTTTGTGAATAAACTTTTATAAAATTAACTTAGTTTGTTGCACATTCTTTTTCTGATTTTTAAAATGTGAGATAAAGAGGAGGTGGTGAAAAAAACCGTGCAACTAAGCACACCCGAAGCTAGCCAAATTTTCTTGTATTTAGGCCTTATGTTTGGAATTATCTCAAAAGGAAAGAAAGTGTTAAACGTATCTAAATATCAGAGCTGGGTAATTCCTAGTTAAAAAGGAATTAATAGTTACAATTACTTTTTTTTTATGTAATTTGTAATTGTATTTAAGTACTTTATTTTCTCAAAGTAATTTGGAATTGTAATTGCAGCAAAATATGTGAAGGAATTGTACTTTGTAATTAGATTAATTTATATTATTTAAATTGTCTAAATACAATTACTTGTCATAAGTACAATTACTTTTCCAATTACAATTACCTTTCCAATTACAATTACATTTATAATTACAATTATATTTTTTAATTACAATTACTTTTAAATGGGTGTTTATGAGATGCAAGTGATATAAAAACAAGAAATTGCCTATTCGAACCGGTCACTAGAGCTGGGACTCGCATCCATATCATTTGTTTGAATGCATTTGAGGAAAGCGTTGTGCTTTGAAGCAGTGAAATTGTTCAACCCAAAATAAAGTATTGCCCGAAATAAACAGTACTGAAACTAAGTTGTCGGTATCTCTTTGCCCCCGCTGTCATACCCAAGTTAGCTAGTATAGATCTGACAAGTAAACCTTAAACAATTAATTAGTAGGGACTAATTGTTAAAAATGTTGTTAAGTATAGACGAGAAAGTATTTTTAGTAGAGGATTATTTTCGCTCATACGGAATCATTTGGCAATGGTGCAAGTCTGCAATATGTGTGTGATCAATTCACACAACGATTTAATGAACGTTCCCAAAGTAATGCCTAATTTTATAGGGGATTGAAAAGTTCAGAAATACTGGTAATGTATTGTGCCAATGAAAAGGAAACTTAGGGCGTCCCAGTAGAGTTAACAACAACAATAACCATGTACGTTTTTTTGAGCAATCTTAGAAAATCCGAAAGTCAGCCAGAGAAGGTCAAAGTTACATAAAAAGAACTTTCTTGCAAAGAATCCTAAAGGATCTAGGTGCATTTTCATATGTGATTCAGGTACATCAACAATTATATCGTAATTATCGCAGTAAAAGAATATTACGCCAGCATTCTCACGTTACAGTATAAAAATCCTGAGTTTTTAAAAAATGTATGGTTTTCAGACGAAGCACATTTTCATTTGTTGGGTCATCTGAATCGCACAAATCAATTTCTGTACTAAAGTGACAATAATATGTATTTCCTAATTAAATAAAAAATGATAAGTTCTGTACTATTTATTTCGGGCAATACTGTAATAAAAGTAAGGGGTAAGTAGATGCAGATATCCTTATTTTTAAGATGTATTTTGTATTTATATTATTATAAACATAATTTACGTTGCATAAACATTATAAACTAAGGAAATATAGTATGAAGTGGTTCAAATAGCAGTTTTTATGGGGTAAATACTAAAAATTACTTATTTAGCGTAGGTATTTCTAGTTATTATTCTAGTTTTATACATTGAAATGAAGGATTAACTATTTTAATAAACGTATTCTAAGTTACTTTAGCGTTACAAGTATTTGATTATAACATAGAAAATGCAATATTTTAATTGAATTAATAGCACTTGTAACGGAATATAAATATATTTTATGTTATAAGAAATTATTTGATGATAGAGATCTATAATGAAAGCTCAACTTAAGCTCAACCTTAATGGTCTTAATGGGTTACACAAATGAAACATTTTAAATTAGTGTCATGTATTATTATAACCAAATTTGGGTAAAATGTGTCTCATTTTTGTTTGTACGAACGAGATACAGAACGATACATTTTAGATTATTCAATATAATTTTAATATTACATACAGGGTGATTCATTTAGGGTGGCGACCAGCCGTATCTCAGAATATCTTGAAGTATAATTTTTTGAAAGGAACGCAAGAACAGGTCGGTTTTTTATTTCAAGGGGGACACCTTTCTATAATATCCTCAACCGTTATATATAATTCCTCTCCCCTACGTCAATCTAACCAACATCAAGTATGACACATAGTCGGAAAGGTAATTTTATGGGGAATTCAGCAATATAACTGCTCATTGCGTTCCTTTTAAGTTTAGTGCCCTCTAGCGGGATAAAAAATTATTATCTATGGTAAAGTGTGACACTTCATTTGCAAGCTAATTTTATTAGTACTACAACCAAAGATATTATTAATAAAGATTTTTTTATTTCAATGAAGGTGTAAAACCTTCGGTTGTACAAAAAAATGGGGTACAGTTAGAAGTGTTAAAATATCTCGATGATTTAAGAAAAAATATTACGATGCTAGATAGCTACCCCTTGATGAGAACAGTGTTCTTTAAATATAATACGGAACTTCCTTCTTCTGGGCCCGTTGAGAGATTATTCTCCTTTGCCACAATTGTCAAAGCTCCCAGAAGGCATGCGCTGTCCGATAGAAATTGTGAAAAACTTGTTGTTATGAAAAGTAACAATATAAACATTTTATGAATGGTTATAACTAGATCTTGCAAATCAGGCGTCATTACTTTTTGCCTGCTTGATGAAAAGTAAAAATATTAATAATTTTACACCAAATATTTTTCTTACATTCTGTGGTCTACTCTTGTTAAAAAAATATGTTTTAAGGGTATGATATTTGAAAAATTAGTTTTTAAATTTTATGAAGTATCTCAAGCTTAAACGACAAAAATAAAAAGGTATCACATAATTTTTGACGAGAGTTAATTACCGCACCGAATGTAAATAAAATGTTTAGTTTTAAATATTTTATCTTTTTGATTAAACGGCCCCAGACTAATGATGCCGGATTTGTATGGTATGACTAGGTAAAATATAAAAGTTCCTATGCGTAGTACACGAACTTTTGTATCTTTGTTCCAAATCAATAAACTTTTAAAAGTTCACATTTTATTATTAACTTATATGTTCCATGTTTATACTACTTATCGAATTTGTCTTTTCCCTTAAATTAAGAAGACCTTAAATGGTTCAGAAAACAATAAACTTAGGGCTGGTTGTATAAAGCTTACTTAAAATTAAGCTCAGTTTTAGTTGATACATATCAATTTACGATTCTATATGTGCAGTCTGTTTGGGGAAACA